TTTAATTAGCTGGATATTTCCCTATTTGGATTTGGGTCGACCCAACATCATATTTTTTTAGTTAGATTGGGGCGGTCCACGTTATATGTCACATGTTTGGACAGATTTCGCTTTGAAAATGTAGTTGTGAAGAATTTGATGGGCTTCACACAAATATCCAAATCTACTCATTTAACAAAGTTTTTTTTTTTTTTTTACTTAAAATTATTTCCAATCACAATTCATTTTCTGAGATAATTAAAAATGGTATGACCTACTATTTCCCTTGATGGGAATGTTAATCACACTAGAATTTTTTTTTTATCAAAAATATTACACTCACTTGCCTTATTACAACAGGAAATATTTTTTTAGCCCATTTTCACTAGATGTTATGATGCAAAACTTCAACATATTGATCAAAGGGGACTTTAATTAGCAGTTAGCACTACAACAAAATTTGTTATTAACGACAATTATTTAATGACAATAATTTAATTGTCATCATATATAAAAATATTAATGGCTAATATATAATAGTCACTAAAAATATATTTATATTACACTAAAATTTACTATTAGCGACAATTATTTACTGGAAAAAACTTAAGTCCCACATCGATTAGAGATAAGATAATTAAATAGTATATAAGTGAGTAATAACTATCACTTTACAGGTTCATTTTATAGGGTTGACTCATAATTCACTATTCTAAATTGGTATCAAATCACCAATTATTACCAAATTCAATAGTGTTATAAAATAATTAGAGAAAAACTTTCACCTTATAAATCTCACATTTCTTAAGAGACAAGACAATTAAAAAAATAAATAAAAGACAACTCTCATCTTACAAATCCCACATCGAGTAGAGATAAAAAAAAGTATATAAGTTATGAATTTAGAAAAGGAAATTATAGGAATAAATTATTTAAAGTAAAGGAGACGATTAAAAAAAATAACTTTTAATAGCCTTTAAAATGGCTACTAGAATTGTTACTAAAAAAAATAAGTTTTTCCAACAATTTAGTAGATCTTTACCAGCATTTTATATAAATGCCGGTAATAATATTAGCGACACTGGATACACCAACCTTTATTTAAATGCTGGTAAAAAAAATAATGGCCATTTATATGACCTTAAATAATAAATTAATAGCCACAAAAAATTAATTTTAGTATATTGTAGAAAAACAAGTGCTAACTGCTAATACAATTTTTTTTAAAAATAAAAGTAATGCATGTTATTTTTTTATTAGTAATATTTTGAAAATCGCTATTAAAGGCTAAAATAAATTATTAGACACATTTGAAACCTTTTAAATGTTTACTGAAACAACTAATAAATAAAGTAAAACAATACATAAGTTTAATAAAAAGTAAAATTTAAAGTATTAATTTATTTATATAAATAATACATTCAATTGATTAGATATTATAATGTAATAAAGGTGTTTTAAGTAGTCAAAATATTATAGAAAATAAAGAAAATTTGTAATAAATAATAAATGAATAGTTTAAACGGATATATGTTGGTAATGGATACAATTTTTTTTACTACATGTAAACGGGGTGACAATGAGTATAATAGTATCTATACTCATTGGTACTTGCTATGTAATTATGGAAGAAAAAAAAAAGATACTAGAAAGAGAGTTGAATAGTGTCAATAAAAAACTTGACATTTTTTCCAAGACAGTGAAGTAGTAGCATAAGTCTCTTAAGGAGTGCAAATGAAGCAGAAACACAAAGAACACATGTTTTTATACTGATTCGTCTTAATCACCTAGACTTTGTCCAATTCTTGATCAACTTGATTTTTTTTTTTGAGGGGGGGTGATCAACTTGATTAAGTTCCATTTCTTTTACAAAGATACAAATATTATTTCTTATAAGTCACCTCTATCTCAACCTAAATATTCTTTTATTTGTCTTTTTAAGCAAACTATCCAAATATTCTTTGAACAATAAAATCTCTTGAAGTTTAAATACCAATTTTTTTTTAACAATAAAGTCTCTCCAAGTTTCAAACTAAAACACATAATTAAAGTTGGGTAAAGATAACAATTAATTCGTCTTTCTCATAAGACGTGATACAACTTTGAAGTATATAGATTTATACATAAATAAAGAAGGAATAAAAATTAAAGTTGTTTTCTCTTCTTTTTGAATTGTTCAAGCTTCTTTATATAGGTACATGAAGAAGATGATAGTTGCAAATTTTTGAGTTTCACTCGTAGGCTTGTTTCTTCTTCCTTCCTTACAGAGTAAGATGTTCGTTAGAGTAATAAATGGATACATTAAATGCATTTCATTAAATTGTAACTTCTTATCGGATAAAAGAGACTACTTATCACCTTTTTGGCACAAAATGGAGAGAACTGTTACATGTATAAATCAAAAAATGACCTTTTAGACAACTTCACACACTTAAAGATATTTGCTTGTCATTTCTTTGACAAAAAGTAAATTCTCAGTCCTTTATGAAATTCAAGTACCACTACTAGAAAAATTAAAATTAGAGAGGGAACAAATCCGTCACTAAATTTTATAAAATCCGTCACAAAATAAATTAGTGACGGAATTTGTGACGGGACTGATTCCGTCACAAAAATTGGCGTCACAAAATCATTAGTGACGGAAATTTCAGTCCGTCACAATTAGTGACGGAATGAAGGCGTCACAAAAAATATATTTTCCGTCACTAATTGCTAACAATAATTGTTTATAAATTAATAAAAATTCGTCGCAATTTGTGAGGGATGAAATCCGTCACAAATTGTGATGAATAGAATCCCTCACAAATTGTGATGAATAGAATCCGTCACAAACTGTGATGACTAGAATCCCTCACAAATTGTGATGAATAGAATCCCTCACAAACTGTGATGACTAGAATCCCTCACAAACTATGATGACTAGAATCCCTCACAAACTGTGATGACTAGAATCCGTCACAAACTGTGATGAAAAGAATCCCTCACAAACTGTGAAGGATCTGTCACAAGAACAAAATCCGTCACAAACTGTGATGACTAGAATCTCTCAATAACTGCGAAATCTGTTATACACTGCTATGATAAATGAAATTCGTCAGTTATATTAATCTTATAAAGAACAGCAACAACAACCTGCTCACTCTGCCATCACCAGGTCACACCCCCAACAATGCCGACAAATCCAAGCACTGTCGGTACCACAGAAATCACGGTCACACCACTGAGGAGTGTCGCTCACTACGGGACCGTATTGAAGAACTCATCTAGGCGGGCCACCTTGGCC